TGCCATTTCATCAAATTTTTTTATTTTTACAATATTTATTTTCTGCAATGTCCGATATTTTTAAAATTTAGGCTTAACTATTTTTCCTTTCGTAAAAACTAAATAAAATAATACATAATACAGTTATTTTTGCTTTTTAATATCAGCTGTTGACAGCTGAGCTTAAAAACAAAATTCTCGTGTGAATGCAGTATAAAGCAGATAATCGTGTTTTTGTTTATTTTATTGTGTGTAAAAGCTAGAAAATAGCAAAAATAGGAGAACATTTAAAATTAAAGTCATTATTGTTCTTATAAATAATTTTAAACATTTTAAATTATTTTGTAATTTTAATGTCATAGTTTACAATAATATGAGTCAACTGATGCTTTGCTGAATATAGGTAAAATGATCAGACCTGATGTATCAGTAATTCGTTAACTCCATATATTATTTTTACTTCAATAAATAGCAAATGAATATTAACTTAAGACTTAAGTGGTGAGATCAGCTAGATAAGAGATAAGAAAAGTTGATACATATTTTGGTATTATTAATTTGTGGATAAATACAAATTCATATAATAAAAATATGATAATATATATAATCACTTTATTGTTTATAAGCCCAATAATGATATATTTCAATAGTGTTCATTATTAATAAGAAGAAAACAGTGTTGTCACATATCGAGATATTAATAACAAATTCAATGCGGTTTTTGATTGCTAAATCTGGGGCAACTTTATTAATCGAGATTCATTTTTACAGCAATTTTCATTTTCGATTGGTAAATCTCTAGCGAAATGTATAACATTCGAGATTAATATATAAAACTATAAATATAGTTTGCCAAAACAGCAAGATTACCCTAAGATTAACAACTGTTTTAAATGACTTGACATATAATGTTTGATTTGAATCGGTATATGTATTTTATGAAATATATAATTATCTACTAATTTTAATACAGAAATGTTAAATCACTCTTAAAATGTATGATTGGACCATAAAATTTGACAAATCAAGACTACATCCAGATTACATCCAGATTTACAAATCGAAAACCTCATATTATTTAAATTATTGTAATAAACATTTTATTCATATTGTAATTTCAATTCCACTCATAACGTCTGTTCTACAAGCTACTTGTAGTAAAACTCAAGTAAAACACAAGTAAAGATAAACTGAAAGCGTAATAAAAAAAGTTCCAAATTACGTTCCTTACACAGATTTTCATGGAACAGTTTTGTATAAAATCTGGTGAGAATATCAGTGCCGCGCAAATAAATAATACAAAAATTTAAATTCAAACCAAAACAGCTGATTCACATATCAACACAAATTTTACTTGAAATAAGATGTACGAGTAAAGTCTGTGTAGTAATTCAAATTTCGACAGGGATGTTACCCTCTCCCAGGTGCTCTCATTTACTCGAAAATTTGTTGGTGGAACGCACTTGTGTATACACAGTGTTACTCAAACTTACTATGAGTAGCTCGTGGACAGATCTATTATATACCAGTTTAATTTTTATATGATCCCTGTTTTTATGACTATTTGGAATATTAAATGTGGCAGTGTTGTTTCTTTGACATTTTAGTAATTTTGCAAAAGCTAGTGGTAAACGGTGACGTGATTTTGATAATCACGAATAGTGTGAATTTAGTAAGTGTTTTTTTATATTATTTAAGAAATATATATTACATATATTCTACATACATATATTGTATTGCATATGCATTATGTGTGTATAGAAACATATGTGCTTTATTATTGTAAAATACACGTTTGCAGATAAAGTGTCTGAGTTGAAGCTTGCCATTTGGCAAAAATATAATAATTGCCAAGAAAGTGTTTTATTACTGCAGTTATCTTTAATTAAAATTGACAGAAGTATGAAAAAACAAATGTGTATTTTATACTAAATAAATATTTCATTGAATAATCAAAAAAACAAAAAACAAAAAAAATATGTTGCAGATAGATAACTAAAAACTACAAGATGACTGACAAAGAGGAGCACAATAATGACATCCAATTAGAAGATGATGAATTCGAAGAATTCCCTGCAGTCAGTTAGTATTTAGTAAAATTTGATTAAAATTATTTAAGTCTAATATGAGCTTTTACTCATGTTTAGAAACTGAAGATTGCGAGTGTCTTCCATGGGCCCTTACCTGGATTGATGAAGACCTTGACACTGATGAGTGGATGAATGAAAAATGCATCAAGAAATGCTTCGATAATAAGGTCTTGAAAGTTTCAACTGATTTAGTTGACACTGATGTGGAAATGATAGATGCATCTATGAATAAAATTAAAAAGTAAAATGAAATTTATTGCTATAAGTTACGTTATATCTTCTACCTTACTTGCACTTGTTTTGATCAGATGTAATTAGTAGTTGGATTCCAAATTCTAAATCGCAATAAATAGAATCTCAATTTCATATGCAAGTGCTTTTTTCTTCATACGTAGTGTTATATATAGTCACTTATTATAATTTAAAGTGTTTTATTTCTAGTCGTGCTAAAGTTGGACAAGTAAATGTGTACCTGGTTGTAGATTGTCTTAGAAAGAGGCCTACTGCATTAAAGTTTCTAGACAAAATGCTAATTGAATAATATTCTAACATTAACATATACTTTTATAATATATAGTGACATATTATAATTAAAATAGTATTTTATTTCTAGTCGTGTTAAAGTTAGTCAAGTAAATGTTGTAGATCATCTCGTTGTAGATCATCTTAGAAACAAGTCTAATATCCAAACTTTTACCTATACTTTTACCGATTGAATGGTTTTTTGTTTTTGTATCCTTCATCGCTAATTAAAAAAAAAATTTATTTATATATATCCTTTTTAGCAGCCATATTTTTTAGCCTTCGTTATTTTTGACATTCTTTTTGAACTGCAATATTTCGTTCGTACAAACTTCTTCCATTTATTTCGATTTTTTGTGGTCGTTGCTAGCTTTTTATATTCTGCATAATCCTGCTTATATAATAGTTGTATCCTTGTTGCTTCCTTTATGGTGAATATTTCAATGGCAAAAAATTCACTAGCGACTTGACAAAGAGTCAAAAATTTTGCCACATTTGTTGCATGAAAATGGCAATACAATTTACATATGTCCTTGTGGTGCCTCATGGTGCAGTCGCATATATTTCATCATCATTCCATGGCAAACACAGTTGCCGTTTTGTGGATGCATGAGGAAAGCTTAAAAAAATCTGTTTATTTAAAAATTTCTCGGTCAAATGAAATATTGTTAAAAGTGTTAGTTTTGTTTTCAAAGCTCCCATTATGTGTGAACAATAGTTAATGTTTTGTTGTATAAAAGTTATTATTTTTATTGCAGTCATTAATTATTTGTATTAAAATTTATCCACTAATCTTGAGATAAAACTGTTGAGAAATTATCTAAAGGAGCGACGTGGTCTGTTTTATAATTTAAAATAGATGGGTATTTTTGCGGAGATCGAATGCTAGACCTGATTTGCGATAGATGAGATCTTTAGTCACATTTATAACGACCATCCAGCGACTATAACCCAATAGGCTCGTCGAATAATGGCGAAAAGGTGTTCCATTAAGACTGTTTTAATATAAGAAGCATTTAAAAAGTCTAGACATAGCATTCTCTCTCTGGCCTAGATATTGGAGTATTCCACCACTAACTATAGGTCAGATATACTCGACAAATGAGGGAGTATTATATCTCTTACCTATAGTCAGATCTCTTAAATCTATCTGATCTTAAAATACACTAAACGGAATACGTTTTCACCTTTATTCGATGAGCTGAATAACTTTTCGGTTAGAGTCGATTGTTAACATTAAAGTTTTATTATAATTGCAGTGCTTTACTCTATTGAGAATTAAGCATTTAGTTTATTTAATATTAAGTTTGATTTTAACGTTAATATAACAGTAGCGATTATTTTTACTTTAATATAAACTATGGTTAATAATAGAGAGTTTTCGAAAACTAGTGGACGACAACAAAAAAAAAAAATTATATTATATATAATTTATTATATTTATAAAAAAATTATACGGTTCTGACAGAAGTCAAACGAATTTAACGAATTCAAAACGTGCTGTTCTTAACACACGTGTCGGTATAATGCACCGATAATCCGTGACAATTTGCAGTAGGGATATATCAGTAAATATCTTTTCTATGAAAGTTTGATAGTAGTTGGACGAATTAAATCAAAAAACTATTTACAATTAGTTAAATATAAGAAATAATTTCAAGACCATTGTTGGTGGGGGTCACCCAAAAATTTAATTAATAAAAATTAATAAAAATTTTGTTGTTGCAATTCAACATAGTTCGAACCATCTCCACATAATTTCATTTAAAAATATGTTAAAGAAATGAAAACTTAGTTAAATTGAACTTAGAGATTTTCTAGGGAGCAAAATGCGACCTTAAAGCGGATGCTAAGAGTCTATTCGGTGTGATTCATAAACGAAAGACATGCCTAAATGGGGATACTATATCAGCTGAAGGTATCATCGCCATCATCCATAGCTATATAGTCCATGTAGAGTCTAAGTTTGTAGTAGTTACTCTTTATTTTTGGATTTTATCTTTTATCTTCTGGTGATATTCATATCGAGATGAAGATATATCACTTGTTATTGTTAGTTCAGTACTAACACCAATCTATGCAATCGGACTTAATGAAACTCTATGAATGTAGATCTCTTTTAACTTTACAACTTCTAAGGGATTGTTTGTTGATAACGGATTTCCATATAATCGGCTATACAGAGTCACTTTTTGCATTGTGCTATATTTCAATAATGGTTCTCCAGTTGTCAAGCAAGATTTTCCAGTTGCCAGTTGTATATTAAGACCACTAACTGTATATAGTCCAACTATTTTGCGGCAAGTACTAATATATATATTAAGTTATCTTAGCAATCAAAGAAATTTTTCAAATTACGGAAATTACATAATGGAAAAAAATTTTTTCAGAATAAAAATTATTTTGTTTAGGAACGTTTATATTTTTTTTTATTTGAGATCGCATTTTGGAATATATTTTTTGCTGACTTTTAAGTACTAAATTCGAAATGTTAAGGTTATTTAAGGGAATGAAAAACATAATTACGCCGGCTTATTATGCATCACGGAAGCACAGTGAAAAACAATCTTCTCACAATGGACCCACAGTTAATCCGGTACTGCGAAAAATGCAAACCATTCCTTGTGGCATCTTTGCTCCGCACATAAATAAACAGGATAAATTCATATATCAAGTGGAGGATGAAAACTTTAGTCGATTTTGGAAGGACGTGCCGTCTCTAGATAGAGGCATACTAAGTTCAACTAGATTTGAACAAATCAAACCATCAGCTACTGGTGATGACACTGATGAATGGTTTTCAGGTATTATTTTTCTTTAAATATATAAACAATGTATGTATAAACGTTAATAATTTCAACATTAAATGACTGATAGAGGTTCGTATGAAGTCTAAATCTTGCCGTTCAAAGGGATCTCAATCAATATCGACGGATAAAAATAAAATTGATCGCTGTGAAGACATTTATCAATCTCAATGTGTGTCTAAAGTGGACAACACTGATGTAATATTACAGATACATTCATTAACTAAAAGGCGTAAAAGTTTGAGGGGAATGGTTAAGCAGATCACGATTTTTTCACTTTATCCAAACAAAATGCAGAATAAATTGCCGCTGCCAGTGGAATCACCTAATCTCTTCGCTACAGGTTTTCTTAAACCTATTAAAAAAGTAAGTATCATACATTCCATTCCACTTAATACCTTTGGGGTAGTACGCATTGCAGATCAAATGCCAAAGGTGAAAATGAAAGAAAATAATGCTTGTTTAGTGGATGATAATCTCTTGCTGTACTTACAAATTTATAATCGACGTCCATGTGCTCCGCTTGGTGTGGGTTTCCATGATAAGGATCATTACGAATCATTAAACAACTATACCAATGTTTATTCTATTGAACATAGATCTATGGGTATCAAAGATCAAATGAAAAATGAGAAAAAGTTGGAAAGGAAACATGTTGATCTCTTGCGGTACTTACAAGACGGAAGTCCACGAACTCCACTTGATGTGGACTTCTATAGTGATGAATTACCTTATGAATTGCCGAACAATACGTACCAATCTATTGAATTTTTGGATACTGAAAATCCATTGATTAATAATAAGATAAAGTTAGAAAGGAAAGATGATTATAGCGATGAGTGTCCACGAACTCCGCTTGATGTAGATTGCTATAATGAAGACATTCATGGATTACAAAATACTCCCACCAGTGTTAATTTTATTGAACAGGTATTTATGGGCTTAAAAGTGATTTCTGGAATGTTACCGCTTAAAATTAAACGGTAGAATGCAGAATACTTCAAATAAAGTGGCTTTTAACGGGGATGTTGATTCAAAATATTTAAAAAAAATGGGTTCTATTTTGAAAATTGAAAATAAATTTATCGTACGTTATTAAAAAAATAAATTCAACATTTAATATTAAATTCAATCGAAGTACTTACAAAACATATATTTTTAAAATTTTAAAAAATAAATTGAGTCTATAAAAGAAACTTAGAAACTTAGTTTTTTTTATTAAATATTGTTGGGATTTAATAATTCAATATATTGTAACTATAAAAAAATAGTATCCTAGAAGTTAAAATTATATTGATACAAAATCTTGTATTAATATTTAAAATCGGAAAAAAATATTGATAAATAAATATAGTTTTACATATTGCAATGATCAACAAAATGAGAATATAAATAGCCAAATAGTATTTTTTTAAATAATTATATTACTTTAAAACTTTCATTATTTCATATACCTCATTAATATCAACGAGACCAAGAACAAAGTTAAAAAAAAATTATTAAATTAAATATAATTTAAAATTAATTACTTTAATCTTTTCCTCTCTTCTTCTTAATCACCCTCTCTTCTTCTTTGGGACTTCTTCTAACGGGACCGCTTTTACATTACTTCAGTAAGATTCCCTTAAATGTTGGCAATTCATGCAATATGCTTCACGTGCTTCTCCCACACCTGATCCGAATTGGAAAGTCTTTACATAGCTCATTGTTTTAGATTAGTTTACGTCCAGGTCTTTCTTTTTTGCTCTTAACACATTTTCAACAAAGTGTGTGATTTCATTCCAATTTTCTGCTCCTTCTATAATTTTTTCCTTGATATTCTCGACTGTGAAGTGACCTGCACATTCTACAAGTAGTATTCTTTATCCATGGTATTTTTCGCAGTTGAAGAAATAATCAGCATCGTCCTCGATTGATGCTAAGTATATAAAGTAGGTTTGCTCTGCTTTTTCTATTCTGTATAGTTGTATTCGAATATATCTATAAGCAGATAGGAACTGTGTGACATAAAAGTCAATAATAATAAAAAAAGAAAATTTACTAATTCTCAAAATCTTAAATATTTATTAAGTAAATTCTTGAATAGGAAACATCCATTGCTTTTATTGTTTATATGTACTTTTCGGACTGCAATTTTGGATTATATATTTTTAAATTAATAATTATGAGTTGAAAATGTGGAAATCATTTGATCCATTCGAAATACGAAGTATTATTAACCAATATGTATTTTACAAAAAATCAAAATTCTTTCATCCTAATGACTTCACTTACTTTTCTTTTGCTCACTGCTTTCTTCTAACCTCATCCTCTTTCTAATGCTTGTATAGTATCTATCGATAGTACGGTTTGGTGTTATCTAGTCGTTCATCCTTTTGCAAAGCATATTGCTTTTAATATTAAATTAGTAATAACTTCACTTATCTCAAACTATTCAAAGGTTATCGGATAATATTTAGGATTAACTCATTAAATTCTTTTACATATTTTTTTAAGTTCTTCGCATTCCAAATTTGAATAGTCAATTTGCAAACCCTTAATCTTGTTGGAATATTCGCAAACAGTTGTTAGTTGGGAAAACTACAGAACTTAAAAAATTCAAGCAATTTATAATTCACTTCAGCTGCTTTTAATAAAGTAATCTTTGGAGAGGAAAAACTATTGATTTTGAAAAGAATTTGAAATACTCAGCCAGAAAAAAATGTCAATAAATAAAAAATGTTGCAGACAAGTACCGATGCAGACGAACAACAAAGGCATTGCAACAACATTCCTGACATTTACGATTTCAGTTGGTGTATCTTTATGTCCTTTATGTGACACTCTTATCTCATGCGAGTATCATTATTTGATACTTACAGTGGCATGTTTGTGCAACTACAGTGATGCATCACTTGATTAGCTAAATAAGTTAAGTTAAGGATTATAGTAGTCCACAATCTTCTCCAATGATAAGATTCCATCACGAGTTGTGAATATGAATGCCTTACTATAAAAAGCATAGACTAATGGCAAATCATAATGTAGATCACGATCTTTGATTAATCTGAATGTAAAAAAAGTTAATGTGATGGGAGAAATATTATAGTAAGAATTATTATCTTAAAAAATAACCAGTCATATGGCACACGAAATCTTCAAAAGTCCGAAGATAGTACTGAGTCGGGAGAGTATTCGAGCCACGAATGAAATATGCAAAGCTCTTTGCAAAATATTGAAATATCTTCCAAGTGGGAACTCATGCCATCAATAGACTTACGAAATTTTTTCCACACAATGACGGTATGTACTGTCGCATAGCTAAGCTGCCCTTCGAGCCCACTTGTGGTTGTTGTGTTTCGTCAACACAATATAAGCAAGCTTTTCTTTGTGGTTGTGATGTCATTTGTTAAAATGAAAAAAAAGAGCAATTAAATTCTCACTTATTGAGAGAGCATAAATTTTATGTGAGAGAAAGCTTATTTGTGCAAGAAAGAGCTTTTTTGAAATTGTAATTAATTTTGGTGCTTACTTTGGACTTTTATGAACTATTTTCTTATTAATTTTTGTGTAGCTCAAATAATCTACGATGGTACTAGTACGTTGCTCACATGGGTTTAATTTCTCCTGTCAGTCCCCAAACAATCTATAAATACAATTGCGAAGCATTATTTGAAGATTTTTTTCTTTATACACGTAATTCTTTTAAGATTAGTGGCGGGTATATTGCCACTTTATAAGAGTGTTTACTGTATATCCTTCATAAGTATTAAGTCGTTATTGTTACGTACAATATTTGTCGTATTTATCGCATATTGCAAAATATTCAATGCTATCAATAAGTAAAATATTATCCTAAATGCTACAAGTTGATAACTGAGACATTTTCTAAAAACCAGTATGCTTGTAAATGCCATTAAATGTAGACTTACTCAACCTAGTCCATTGCATATTGGTGCTTAGTGCAATTTTGGTTAAAATCCTGCTGTGAAAATCTATCTCCTGCTGTTCATACACCAACTCCTCTGAACCACTAACTCCTTCCTTCTAAGCTATTGAAATGTCATTTGTATGCAAAATAAGGACATTTCGTATGATTTTGGATTTTTGCAAATGGAATTTATATTGAAACGGATATTAAGTGCGGTCATTGAGAAATGTTTTTGATTTGTATTATTATCCTTGCACTGCATTTTTGTGTATGTTTGCATGTATGTTATGTGGAATGTGTGCATTGGTATTATTATCTGCATATACATATATATGTATATTGAATGTCTGATTGGTACCGGAAATGACATTGAGCTTCTATCCTTTTTTTATGCTCTTTCATTTTTAAACCAAATTCGAATACTAATTTTCGTAATTTGCATTTTGTTCATTTATTAAATGTTTTCTACTTTTACTGCTATTCATTTGCATTTTATAGATTTCATTTATTTATTCTTATTTTTCATTATTTTTATTTTATTTTCATTATTTTCATTTGATGGATTTTTGTCAGAAATCGTTTTATAAGCAATTTTTTTTTTTTTTTTTTCGCCGTATTAGTTGCTGATATTGTTGGATTGTTGGTTGGATTGAATTTTAAATATTTTTGATTGCTTAATTTATAAAATACAATAGCTTTTCCTTTTTTCAATTTAATTGAACTCAAATTGCATGCAATTGAAGTCAGTAACACGTTCCGAAAGTTAGCTTGAGGATTCACTGTCAAAAAAATCTTTACATATTGGATTTTTCATTAATGTTTTCATAATTAATATATTTTTATGTTTAATTTGTTTTAATTAAATTATCATTCAAATATTTTTTAACGACTGAATTTTAAAAGTTCGACAAAATTAAAACATTAAAACTGGTAACAATCGTACAAATGTGTAATTATATACATCATATCTTAAGAACATAACATTAAGAAGAATAGTAAATGTTCTCCAATATATTAAAAATACAAAATTTCACAAAGATCTGAAGATGTCAACAGTTAAAAAATATATATAGGACATAAAGCTCTGAAACTCTTCGATAAAATAGTACTGGTAACTATCACAAGCCAACATTAAATCAGCTATAGGTTCATTTAAACCCCACAAGCGTTAAAAAATATGGAGGACAAACACACACTAAGAAACGAACTGGGTTAGGCCATATAAACGTCTAACCCATATAAACACTAAGATGACTCTCAATGACTCTCAATGAGGACAAATACACACTAAGAAACGAATTAGCCATATAAACGCCTAACGCATATAAACAATAAGATGACTCTCAATGAGATGCTAACAGAACTACCTATAAAATAGAACAAAGGTGCTGATTGATACCGATTTAAAAAAATGATAATATAATAAAATAATGATTTATAAAAATTATAAATTTTATTATAATTATAATCAATTTCAAAGAGTTATGAAAGAAGGTTAAATGAAGGTGATAATTTAGTTAAATATCTTGCATAGTGTATTATAGTTTCAAACAATGTTTGGTTAGGTTAGGCCTTATGCCCAAAGCCCACTTAAGCTTAAATAATAACTCGTTGTGATAATATAGATTAGCATTATTCATAAGCATATCAGAAGGATTTTTGAAAGAAGTGCAATAAACAGCGTACGATCAACGCCGAAAGGCACGACACTCTCATTCAAGTGAAAGCGAACTAATCTGTCAAATGTATAAACTTGTTAGGTTGGGTTAGAGTGGCATCCTTATACCCAGAGTTCACTTGAACTCAAAGATTGACCCGTTGTGATACTATGGATTAGCGTTGTTCGAACGCAAGCCAGAGGGATTTTTGAGAAGATCACAATAGTCTTCGTATGAAAAACGCCGAAATGCGCGACTCCCTCATTCAAGTGAAAGTAAATCAACCTGACATATTTGATATACATGACCGAGTTCTTAATTTTGCAGGATTACAGCTCTATCAGATCGGTAAGAAAAAGGTGAGAAAATCTCAACGATTTCATATTTTTCCTAGCCAATGATGGAAACTAACACGTGAGGTGGAGTACAGTTTCTTTCTCATCTGCAGGGCCATAATCCCGACAAATGTCATTATAGTGTGGACCCAGTCTTACAGCTTCCTATTGCGCAGTGACCCTTACGCCTTAGTTA